AACAGAAAAGTGGGTGAAGGGAGACGTCGAACAGGGCAAGATATGACAAAATACCAATTTATAAAGTATCAAGGGCTCATGAGGGAGGGGGGAGCGGGGAGGGAGGGGAAAAATGTGGACCTAATGCCAGGGGTTTAAGTGGAGAGAAAATGTTTTGAGAATGATGTACAAATGCGCTTTACACAATTTATGTGTGTATGGATTGTGATAAGAGTTGTATGAGCCCCTAATAAAATGATTTAAAAAATCAAAAACAAATGTGCTTTATACAGTTGATGTATGTGTGGATTGTGATAAGAGTTGTGGATTGTGATAAGAGTTGTATGAGCCCCTAATTTAAAAAAAAAAAAAAGTAAAACTAATAGATGGCATGATCTTATATATGGAAAATGCTGAATAGTCGACTAATACACACACACACACACACACACACACACAATACTGGAGCTAATAAGCAAATTGAGACATTTCCGGATACTAGATCAGCACATAAAAATTTGTCTATCTCTGTATGCCAGCAATGAACAAAAGGAACAATCTGAAAATCAAATTAGGAAAATTATTTCATTTGTATTAGAATCAAAAGAGTAAAATACTTAGGAATACATTTAATCAAGGTAGTACACTGAAAACTACAAAACACTGTTGAAAGGATGCTTTGAAAAGAAGGCCAAGTACACATGCAACTTTCCTCTAGTTCCTAACTGCTTCCTTCTCCCCCCCCCCTCCACCCGCCACTATCATGACCCCAGTTCTACCTTACAAATCTGGCTAGACCAGAGGATGTACACTGGTACAGATAGGAACTGGAAGCACAGGGAATCCAGGGCGGATGATCCCTTCAGGACCAGTAGTGAGAGTGGCAATACTGGGAGGGTAGAGGGAGGGTGGCATAGAAAGGGGGAACCAATTACAAGGATCTACATGTGATCTCCTCCCTGGGGGGCGGACAACAGAAAAGTGGGTGAAGGAAGACGTCGGACAGTATATGATATGGCAAAATAATAATTTGTAAATTATCAAAGGTTCGTGAGAGAGTGGGGAGCAGGGAGGGAGGGAGGAAAAATGAGGTGCTAATGCTGGGCCCGGGCTTACGTGGAGAGCAAATGTTTTGAGATTGATGAGGTTAATACAATAGCAGTACTCCCTTAAACTGATGTATAGATGCACTGTAGTCCCACTGCGTTTTTTAAAAAAATAGGTTGATCTTGAAATTTGTATGGAATTGCAAGAAACCCCAAATAGCTCAAACAGTATTTTGTAAAAAAAAAAAAAAAGTGAGTTGGAGGACTCAAATGTAATGATTTCTAAACTCACTTCAAAGCTACAGAAATCAAAACGGTATTAACATAAGGATAGACATTTAGAGAATTGGAATAGAAGGTCTAGAAATAAACCCTTATGTATATGAATAATTGATTTAGACATGAATGCCGAGACCATCAGTGAGGAAAGAAGAGTATCTTCAGCAAATGACATTGGGACAGCTGGACATGCAAAATAATGAAATCACATTTTATTCAGAACTTAAGTTAGAGTGGATCAAAGACCTAATATAAGAGCTAGGACTGCAAGACTCCTAGGAGAAAACAGGGATAAACCTTTATGACAGATTTGGCATGGGATTCTTAGATTGGACACCCAAAGCAGAAGCAACATGAGAAAATTAAAAAAAATAAGCTGGACCTTATCAAAATTAAAAACTTCATACGTCAAAGAAAATGAAAGGTTAACCCACAGGATAGGAGAAAATTCCATGTTCCTACAACTTTTTGAAGCCCCTTTGTATATCTGATAGGGTCTGATATCCAGAATATATCATGGACTCCTACAGCTCAACAACAAAGAGACAAAAAGCCCAATTAAAAATGGGCCAAGTCCTTAGTTCTCCAAATGTGTGCAAGTGGCCAATAAGCATATAAAAAGTTGCTAACTATTGTTACTCAGGCTTGTTATTCAGGCCCTTGAGTCAGTTCCAACTCCTAGCAATCCCACGTAAAGCAAAAGGAAACACTTCCCAATCTGATTTCATTCTCAGTCATTGCTATGTGTAAGCCCATTGTTGTACCTACTGTGTCAATGCAATGAAATTCATTGACGGACTCCTTTCTTCCCTGGCCCTCTGCCAAGCATGATGTCCTTCTGCAGGGACTGGTCCCTCCTAATAACATATCTAAAGTATGTGAAATGAAGTCTCACCTTCCCACGTATACGGAGTGTTCACTCTCTGGCAGCCCATTCCATTTCCTTGCCTCGGAAATCCTTGCTTGGGAGCAGTTCTGCTCTGTCCTGTGAGGTGGGAAGCAACTTGAGGATAGTGGGTTTGGTCTTTGTTGTTGTGTTGTTTTAAGTAATTAAGTAATAAAAATGTCTTTTGAAATAATCTTGTTATTTTTTTAAGATCATTTTATTGGGGGCTCTTACAGCTCTATAATCCATGCATCAATTGTATCAAGCATATTTGTACATGCGTTGCCATCATTTTCTGAACATTCACTTTCTATTTGAGCCTTTGGTATCAGCTCCTTTCCTCCATCTCCCACGCTCTTGACCCCTTGATAAATTATTATTTTCATATCTTACACCTACCGCTATCACCCTTCCCCCAGTTTCTGTTGTTCCTCCAGGGGGTGGGAATGGAGTGGTGAATGGTTATGTGTCAGTGCTCCAGTCTAGCCCCAAGCAAAAGGCAGGACTGGGGTCATGATAGTGGGGGTTTAGGAAGCCTCAAGGAACTAGAGGAATATTGTGTGTTTCTTCAGTGTTACACTGTGCCCTGGTTGACTCATCCCTTCCTTGTGAACCTTCTGTGAGGGGATGTCCCATTGTCTACAGATGGGTTTTGGGTCTCTCTGCCCGGGACCCCCTCATCCTCAGCAGTATGTTTGTTTGTTTGTTTTCTTCTGGTGCTTGTTACCGGATCCTGTCGACACCTCATGATCGCAAGTCTGGTGTGCTTCTTCCATGTGGGCTTGTTGCTTCTGAGCTAGATGGTCGCTTGTTTAACTTCAAACCTTGAAGTCCCCAGCCGCTATCTTTTGATAGCCAGGCACCAGCCATTTTCTTCACCATTATTTGCTTGTGCACCCATTTTGTCTTCAGTGATTGTGCTGGAAGGATGAACATCACTGAATGCCAGGTTGTTAGAACAAAGTGTTCTGGTGCTGAGGGAGGACTTGAACAGAAGCCCAAAGTCCATCCACTACTTCAATGTATTGCCATATGTACATAAGCCAATACCACCATTTTTATGTATTAATGCATTTACATATTGTAAACACCTATGTTTATACCTCTATCCATAGCTTTGATTCCTAGATCTTAGAGCTTATTATTTCAAACCAAAGCATTTCAAATCCCGTTCAAATCATATTATGTTGGACATGTATTCAATTACAATCTGATGTCTTTTAAACTAACCTTCAAAGACATGGTTTAAGTGAATACATTTCTTTTTCTGATAATAAAAGTAGATACATATTACAGAAAACCATGTGGAAACTTTTTTTGTTTTTACTTGCCACTGAGTTGACTGTTTCTTCCTATGGTAGTTCATAGCATATTTAATATTCTGTCTTCCTTTTTCATATGTACATGGGGCCATTGAAAAGACCATGATTTTAATCAGACATATCTTAGTTATCAACATGTGACATCTTTGTTTTTTAAATCTTTCAGAAGATTTTTTTGCAGATTTTCCCAACAGTAAGTACATTGTTTGATTTCTTGACTGCTGCTTCCAAGGATGTTGATTTTTGATCCAGGTAGAATGAAATATTCACAACTTCCCTTTTTCCCCCATTTATACTGTTTATTGGCTCAGTTGTAGGATTTTTTGTTTGCTTTGTGTTTTCCACATAATAAAGGAGTATGCACATAGAGCACATAGAGCTCACTGGATGGACCATGAAACTCTATACTCACTCGCACCGAGCCGATTCCAATGCATACCAGCCCTGTAGGAAAGAGTAGAAACTCCTGTGGGTTCCCAAGACCATAACCAAGGAATGGTTAGTGGCTTTGAACTGTTCACCCACATATGCCACAAAGGCTCATTTTGGATGGATTACATAAGAATCAAATAGGTGTTGTTGGGTAAGCATTAGGCAAGATCAGAAGTTCAAGCCCACCAGCCATTCCTGGGAGAAATATGAGACTGTCTACTCTTACCAAGTCTGAAAAATCCAAAGGCATGGTTCTACTCTGTCCTGTTGGGTCACTATGGGTTAGAATCAACTCGATGGCAGCGAGTTTGGGTTTAACCACCTATAGACTCTCAAGTGCCTGAGTATGTATTCTTCCTATTTATCATTGTCTCTTAGCAAATGAAAATATGCCTCTAATCTATTCATTTTAGACCAAGTAATTTAAGACCACACATTTTTCTATGCAGAAATTCCTTTTAGACTCATAAAACTGATTGTATTTTTGGTTCATGTGGTTGAAAGTTTAATTACAGAATTCAAAATAGGTTGTAGAATTATAATGAGATGCCTTTTATGGAAACAGTAGATCAGCTCATAAAATTGAGTATCACCCATAAGTAATGAGTTCCTTTTTAAAAGCATATACATATAGCAGACCAACTGGTACAAATTACTTACTCTAAAGCAAAGATGAGACAGTTAGGGGACAGGGAAACTAGAGTACTGAAAATAGTACAACCAGAACAGAATGAATGAGAATGAGGGCGTGATATAAAAAAGATAATCAGTGGCCCTGGATAATTTGTGTAGAGGTTGTTATGTAAAGACCTTATTTACTGTGCAATCTTTCCCCTTAAACACAATAAAATAGCATTTTTAAAAGAATTACAGTGATACAGATGAGCATGTTTAATTTATGGGACTCATTTCTACAAAATATGTTTTTTAAGTATTATATTAAGGTTGACAGATCTCCTGAGGTTAATTTTTTTTGCAAAATGTGTTATTTTTAGCAATTAGATTTGACTTTCCTAAGTGGAAATACGTTGGTTGAGAATGCCTTCTGTGTTGCAGATTGCAAATAGAAGAATCTTCCAAGCCTGTTAGACTCTCACAGCAGCTGGACAAAGTTGTGACAACCAATTACAAGCCTGTGTCTAACCATCAGTACAACGTGAGTATGCTGCATGTCTGTCTTCATTTTGCCCTCTCTCTATTGTTTACTCTGTTACCGACCCAGGGGCTCTGGTGGTGCCACAGCAATCAAGCACAGGACTTTCCAAACTGCTGGTGTAACCTTAAAAAAAAGGACCAAACCCACCCCCCATGTACCACAATGTTAATAATTATTGGAAACTACCCAAGTAAACATCAACACATGATACATAAACACTGTAGTGGTTTTGTCATTTCATACGATAATACACACAACAGCTACATACAGCAGCATGGGTGAATTTCACACACTTAATGCTGGACACCCAAAACTATTTTTCTTTAGAAGATCTTTTTTTTTTAAGATCATTTTATTGGGGTCTCTTACAGTTTTTATAAGAATCCATACATCAATTGTATGAAGCATATTTGTGCATATGTTGCCATCATCATTTTCTGAACATTTACTTTCTATTTGAGCTTCTCTTTTTTACAAACACTACTTTTTGAATTATTTTATTTAGTTAGGTCAAAAACAAAATAGGCCAGATGAAGCCTTGCTGTGAGGATTCAGGATTTTGTTGGGTGGGGCTTAAGAGTGGCTCTTAACTAGAGGGCAACACAAAGGGATTAGAGTGCTGGTGATGCTTCTGGTACTGTGTGCGAAATACATAGGTGCGAACAGTTTTCCACTTTATAGTTCAGTGAGCTAGCTGTACATTAGGATGAGTGTGTGTGTTTTCTACATGCACTATAAGTCCAGGCAATACCTCTTTACAGAGCTTGATTTTTGTTTCTGTGGTATATTAACTGTGAGTAATTGCATAAGCTACCAGCTCTGTCGCTAGCTCTTCAGTCCACAAATCACTAAGTAAATAAAAGGTGTCTTGTAATCAGTGACCAATCTGGCCACTTCTTTCAAATTCTGTTGTGATTGCCCAGCATACATCTGTAATGCAGCAAAATGTGTAGTTGTGTGGTCTTCTTGTCTCTTGGTGATACAACCATGTGACATTTTACAAAAATGGTTACTTAAAGAGGGAATTTGCCAACCAAGATGGACTTGCAGCCAAGCCGCAAACAGGGATATTTATGCTCCAAGCCTGGAGCTGAGCTCACCCACCTAGGGGCTCTGCTTTCAGTCAAGCTGTGGACTCTGCTGGAAGATGATCGAGAACACTAAGGAAGGATACACTACTTAGAACAATGCACATTCAAGAACAAAAGGGCAGCATTTGCTCCGAGACAAAGACCCAAGGGCAAGAAAGAAGGAGGAATAGAAATAGGAAATGGGGTAAGGAATATTACGTTGTAGGTTTGTAACCAGTGACATGAAAGTCCACAATGCCACCACTTCAGAGTCTAGCACTGCAGCCCTAGGACCCTGTTTTGTTGTTACTGTTGTTGGTGTTGTCATGGGGTCAATAGGAACTTAATGAAAGCAAACTTGACATGAATGGAGAGAGTGTTTATGACCTAAAAGGTGCAGATATTTCAGAGGAAGTGAGGTTGGCAAAAATCTGTCCAATGAAGGAAGTTTCACAAGATATTTCACAACATTGAAAGTAGGAAGGATAAAAGGTTGGAAGCTAATCCAAACTTTGTGAGTAGTCAGACAGTTGGCCTAGCATAGAAAAAAATGTTCACTTTGTATCATAAAGTATATGATGAGAAGAAGGCAACTGCTGTTGAAATGACTTGTTGGAATTATCACAATGAGTCATGTGTTGTCTGATCGTAGTGAGCAGTCAAGTCCTCTTGGGACTGGAAGAGACGAAAGCTGAGGAAGACTTCAGTTAGTACTTAGCCATGTCAGTATCCTACAACAGTTACTAAGATTGGTCTCCTCTCAGTAACTTTTTAATATATTAAACTGTCATACCTGCATTATGCATAAGATACATAGCTCTCTAGAACCATATAGATGAAAGCCTTGCCTTCGAGAAGCTGCTACTTCACTCCATTATCTAACTACGACTTCTCACATGCCCACTTTGGACTATCGCCTAGCTACATTCATAGTACTGAATAAACATTTCTAAACTATTACCACTTCTCCTAATCCCACGAGGTTTACCCATGTTATACTGCTTCAAGACAGAGACACGCGCTCCTCAGTCAGATCCACAGTAGCTGGTCTCTGCCTCCTTCATCCTCGTGACACTGACAGCAGATTTAGAATACAGAGAAGTTTCATAAGTCCTAGTTTCAGGTGTTTGTTGTTTGTTTGTTTTTCCTTTTAGCCCTTAAAATAAGCTCAGAGACCTTGTATTTTGATTTGTTTGAGCTTAAAGCTCTAACACATTGCTTTTTAAAGACTATCTTTAACAGAAAGTGACTGTTGTCACTGAATGAATGAGTCATTATAGCTATCACTCACTCTCTTTTGGTAAGTAGTTTATTTACCTGAAACAAAGACTTATTTATTCTTCGAACTAGTGAAAACAGGCATTGTGAAATAATGGGATGGGTGTAAAAGAGGACAATTTGGGCTGAGGGAGGAAAGGGTGGAATGCATACTAATCTGTCTTTATTTAGGTGAGAATATAGGTACGAAAGCCAGTGCCACTTGAGTAATCTTCACGTCTTCAGTGGCACCAATCCTGTGAATCATGTTCAGCCATCGCTGTTAATGGTTCCCAAGCTTTCCCTTTCAGCTGTTGATGTTTATAGCCCTGTGAATTACAGATTATATTAACTGTTCTTACCTCACTTGATCTCAGAAAATGAACTTAAAAGTCTTTAAAAGGTTCCTGCAAAGACACTGTAGATAAAGATGACACTAATCAAGCAAACCAGAAAGTGGGAAAACTGGCACTTTTGCTGCTGCTAAAATGACCTCGTTATCATTCACTTTTTGAGATAGAAACAGTGATGATGTTAGAGCTGACAATAAGTTTCCTGTCCAAAATAAAATTACAATATCATCTTAAATATGACTTCCCAACCCTATCTTAGTGATGGCTCTGTTACTATCTCTCAGGTAAACAGAAACAACTCTAGATATTTTAACAGAAAGATGTAGTATAGGGAATTGGGTAAAGATGGAAAGGCTGGGGTTGCAGAAGAGAGGAAGGAGTTACCCATAGATCAGGATGCTAGTGCTGCCAGAAGTGTTCCCAAAGGAAGGCTGGAGGACACCTCTCTCTCCCACTACCATTCTCCCTTGGGCAGAATCCGCTGGCAAAGGAGCCTTGGAGATGTAGCTTAAACCCCCTAGTCCAACCGTTCTCAACCTGTGGGTCGTGACCCCTTTGGGGGTTGAATGACCCTTTCACAGGTGTCACCCGATTCATAACAGTAGCACAATTACAGTGATGAAGTAGCAACGAAAATAATTGTATGGTTGGAGGTCCCCACAACATGAGGAACTGTATGAGAGGGTCACGGCATGAGGAAGGTTGAGAAGTACTGCCCTAGTCATTGCTGCCTCCAAGACATGGAGCTGATGGTGGCCTTTTAGAAATAACAGACGTAGTGATCCTTGACCTTTCTGTGTTATACCCTAAGTTACACTTGCTATTTCTAGTATGGCTCTATCACAAGTTGCAATACATGTAAAAGCTAAACAACCAGATCATGAAGACAAATGGTTGCAAGACGAGTATTTTATAATTTTGATAAGCTGCATCTAAAGTTGCTCTTGAAATCCTTTCGTTTCATCCCTTTAAAAGTGTTAATTTTGTATATGCTTCGTAATGGCCACATATATTAAGCATATCTCTTTACAACTTGAAAATAGATATGCATGTAGCTCATACTCCACTATTTTTGCAATAAATGTGTGTAATCAGTGTTTAGAGTCAGTGATATAGACATGCCGGTGCAGCTCCCTCTGCCTCTTACTGCAGGTCAGGATGCCTCTGTGTGTTCGGGTTGACTTTTGTGTACACAATCAGCTAGCAGTGTAAATTTCACAGCCGCCTTTTATATATATGAGGGCGTATCCAAAAATAAAACAAAAGTAAACTGGAATTGCGCTAAGTGGAGCTTTCCTAATCTACATTTTTCCTGTTAGGCGAGCATCAAGCAACTCACTCTGAGTTAGTGCACCCAGTGGCGTTGCCTAGAATTTTTTGCGTAAAAGCGGTTTCATTTGAACCTTGTTTTGTTTTGGGGGGAGTTTTTGTCTACATTATTTCTTAAAATCATTTTATTGGGGGCTCTTACAGCTCTTATAACATTCCTTACATGAATTAGAACCTCGTTTTTTGTGATGGCCTATTTAAGAGAACAGCGTGTGGCTGTGAAATTTTGTTTCCTGCTCTGGAAAAATGCTGCAGAAACTGTTGTGATGTTGAACACAACTTACAAGGACAGTGCTATGGGAAAAACTCAAGTGTACAAGTGATTTTCACCTTTCAAACGAGGTGAAATGTTGATTGATGACAAATCTCATTCTGGACATCCATCAACTTCCCAAACAGATAAAAATGTCAATTCATACGTAGTGCATTTGGAATTCGTTCCACCAGGTAAAAGTGTTAATCAAGCTTTCTATTTAGAGGTTCTGAAAAGATTGTGTAACAGTGTGTAACATATAAAAAGGCCCAATTTGTGGCAGGTGGGGGGCTGGTTTGGCCACCACAACAATGAACCTACTCGCACAGCCACACACAGTGTGCCAGTTTTTGGCAAAAATCAAACAACAGAACCAACCCAACATGCCTCTTGCCCCACACATCTGACTCAACCTGAACTCACTCTGTGCAACTTCTTTGTGATCCCGTGCATGAGAGGGACGTGAAAAGACAGCAGTTTGACAGCTTTAGAAGAGGTGAAGAAAAATCGAGGTGGGGTGCTGTCCGCCAGCCAAACGAGATGAGTTTGAAAAATGTTTCCCAAAATGGAATCGCAGATTTGACCAATGAATTAAGTGTAAGAGAGAGTACTTTGAAGGTGATAATATTGTTTTGTAAAAAAGAAAAAATCAACTACATAGCTTGAGGGGGCTGGAATTCCAGTTTCTTGGGGGTACACCATCATATTCTACAATCTCTTGTGATCTTCTCAGAAGGA